GGTATGTGGGCATGATGCGGACGAAGATACAGCAAAAGAGACTTAGGAGCAGTTGACAGACAGGTAGGAGAACCAGGAGAGAGCAGTTTTGTGAAAACCTAGAGAGAAGAGAGTACTATCGAGGAGGAAAGAGTGATCAACAGTGTCAAAAACTGCAGAAGCCTAAGATTCTCTTCGTATGATTAGGCCTTTTTCACAAAGGGCATCATGACTAGGATCTAAAAATAGAACACTGTGAAATGAGGGCATTGTTCGACCTGATTAAAATTCCATATTCTTTGTCAGTTTTACTTTCTTACTTTTAGGATTGAGACAGAGGGAGGCTAAAGATTCGTAAGAGAATGGGGATGCTAGAGAGAGCGACCGACTGGTGGAGATGGGGAATGCAATCACTTGTGCATGTGGAGGAAGCTTCCTTGGCCACGAGAAGGGCTACCTCTCCGTGTGTGATGGGGAAGCGATAGTAACTGCTGAGAAAATCCTGGTATTTTCCTCTAAAACAGCGATGGGATGGGGGAAGAATTACATTTTACTGACATCCTTGGTAACTTTCATTAATCACTGTGATAGTCATCCCTGTTTACTAAACAATAGTGAATCCTCCCAGATTTACACACCAATTAGTGGTAAAATAAGTAGTCATGTAGATTAGCTTTTCTCATTTCTTCAATATTTTAGTGCTCAGAATTAAAGACTATCTTAATGTTTATAAAAGAGGTAATGAAAGGGATATATTTTGCAAGTATAAAGGCAGTGGTCAGTCTGGATAACTGCCACATCCCACTTTAAAGTTTGATAAGATTCTATGCCTTCATCCCTTAACTAGGTGAGAACATACCTTACTCAATCAATCAATCAACAAATGTCAATAGTCCTTAAAAGCCCCTGAATAACTGAAGTGACACTGAAAGGAAATCTGTTCCAATTGGTTGAGGGACTTAGCAGTGCTCTGGGGGCAATTGTCAAACTCCACAGGGATTGCGTCCAAATCAGATTAAAATTGGGAAATGTCTAACAAATAAAATAAAAAATTCAATAGGACATAGATAATGTTAACTTGTCAGACACCATTGCTCTGGGAGATTGTACAAACCAGAAGCTAGTTCAGAAGATTTGGAGCAAGTAGTGAGCTAGGAGAGAGTATTCCTGTGATAGGGAGGAGCACCCAGCGGGAGAATAATATGGCCATGTCATGATATAAAGACCTGGACTGGAGAAAGCAAGAAAATTAAGAGGATTTGTTATTGTTTAGTCATGTCTGACTCTTCATGACCCTATTTGGGGTTTTCTTGACAAAGATACTGGAGTGGCTTGCCATGTCCTTTATAGATGAAAAACGGAGGCCATCAGGGTTAAGTGATGTCCCCAGGGTCACACAGCCAGTATGTGTCTGAGGCTAGATTTGAACTCACGAAGATGAGTCTTCCTGACTCCAAGCCAAGCACTCTATCCACTGTGTCACCTAGCTGCCATTAGGTAGCTAGGGAAGAAGTAATAAGGGTCTGAATTAGGTTGGCAGCAGTATAAGGGGAGAGGAAGGGATGGACATGAGAGATACCATGAATATAGTATCAACAGAAGTTGGACACCTATTGGACATTGGAGGCGAGGGAAATGGAAGGATCAAAGATTACTCCAAGGTTTCAAACCTTTATTGACTGAAAGAACAGGGAAGTTGGGAAAAGGATTAGGTTTGCTGGAAAGCCCAGTTCAAGTTTTACGTATGCTGAGTTTGTTGAATGTCTACGTGGTAGCGCTCAAGAAGTAAGTGCATACGCTTACTTGGACTTCCCAGGAGAAATTGGGTCTGGTAATACATATTTAGGAATCACCTGGGAAGAGGAACACATAGTGTGTAGTTATTACATATGTAATAACTGAATCCATGGGAGCAAATGAGATTACCAAGGGATAGAATATCCAGAGAGGAGTATTTAAAACAGAGCCCTAGAGGACAACAAGGGAAAAGAATATCAATTAGTGGGCTCAAGAAGGAGAGGTCAGAAAGACAGAACTAGGAAGAGAGCAGCACCAGAACAGAAGGGAAAAGAGATTTGAAGGTGTGGTCATCCATATAAAGCAGTACAGGAAGGTCAAGCAGGATTAGGACAGAGGAAAGACTGGGTTTAACTATTAAGAGGTCATTGTCAACCTTGGAAAGAGCAGTTGCAATAGTTACATGGGAAATTTTTTTTCTTAATTTTTCTTCTCAAAGTATAGATGTGTGGGGAAATAACCAAGAAAATGGAATAATTCTGTTTTCTATTTCTACCTCTTGGGTCCTGGCCAATTTGTTAAGATACTTAAAGCATATAAAATGGTTGTCATTGCTATTTGTCCTTCATTCTCGGAAGAGGATCATGACATCAGGAAGATGATGCCATGACTTGCAAGTGAATTGCATTTAAGTGAGGGAGGGCTGTGCAAAGTCACCGGCCTCACTTTCTCCTCCAGAGCCATCTGGGTCTAGTGGCAAGATATAGATGAGGATGACTGGAGATGGCCTTGGTTGTCATTTAGTCCCAGCTCAAATTCTACAAGCGGCCTTTCCCAATTCCTCTTAATGCCTTCCCTCTATTGATTATTCCGTTTATTTTGCATACATCTTGCTTGTCCATACGTAACTGTTTTCCCATCCATCCTCCCCTATTAGACTGTAAGCTTCTTGACAGCAGGGACTGTCTTTTACCTTTCTTTGTCTCCCCATGGATTAGGTTTGGTAAACAAAAACAGGTGCTTAATATATGAATGCCCACTGATGGATCAAAGAGTGGAATGAACTTATCGTATTTTCCTCTTATTTGCTGCCTCAGGGAATGTTTATTATTGCAAGGTTTCTGGTGAAATGTGAGTTAAGCTGCTGAGCAAGCTATTGCTGCCTTGGAGATAGTATCTGCCTGATCTTACCTAGTGGGATCAGAACAGGCAGCCCCACACTCAGTTGGAGCACTGCACTTGCTGCTACAGTGTGAGGACTTGGGCAGATATTGAGTGTACAAAAGGGACCCAGGTCAACCATTAATCACTTCTTTGCGAGGGGTAGCCACATAATTGGGAATTGATAACTGCACTTTTCAGTGAGTTTCAATTAGTTTTCCTCATCAAGTCTACTTGGAGGTGGTGAAAAAAGATAATAGACAAAAGAATTCACTATGGTCCCTATGACTATGGTCAGACCCTAGAAGGTCTGAATTTAATTTGATTTAACTTAATTTAATTTGATTCAACTAACATTTATTATTACCTAGTATTTGCAAAGGGCAGCTAAGTGGTGCACTGGTTAGAGTTCTGGGCCTGGAGTCTGGAAGACTCATCTTCCTGAGTTCAAATCCAGCCTCAGACATTTACTAGCTGTTTGACCCTGGACAAGTCACTTAACCCCATGTGCCTCAGTTTCCTCATCTGTAAAATGAGGTGGGAAAGGAAATGGCAAACCACTCCAGTATCTTTGTCAAGAAAACCCCAAATAAGGCTCATTGTAATAGCTTCCCATTATACATGGCTTTACAGTTTATAAATCACTTTCACTTTCTTCACAAAAACCCTGTGAAGTGGCACAAGTCTTCTCATTTTACACAGGAAATCAAGGCTCAGGGACTTGACTTGCCTAGGGTTATAGAGCTTGTAAAATTCAAACCCAGGACTGAAACCCTGGCTAAAAGAACAGCTGCCAGAGGAGTCAGTTCTACACAAAAGTGCTAAGTGGGGCAAAGGTGTTGTACTTTCTGGGCACTCGTCTTCTGTTCAGCTCTTATTCTGAACAAACTATCATCTAAATGTTCTGAAGATATGGGCCATGAGGGCTCAAAGTGTGAGCCCTTTTTTCCTCCCATTTGAGGACCAGGCAGGTCTGATAGGGGAGACCTTCAGACTGGCCCATGTCCTTTCAGCCTATTTGTCCCTGCCAGATGCCCCCCACCCCAACCCCACCTTCCACCTATGGCTCAGGGAACTGTGATCAAATCAATACTACCATTGATTCTGTAAAATATGAGTCAGCTGACCACCCTATTACACTTCACCACTCCAGTGATTTCCCAGACTCAAACACCTTTCCTTGGCAGCCATTTTTTTTTGTGGTTTCCTCCTTTAGAATATAAACTTCTTGCTGTCTCTTTTGTATGTGTATACCCACAATATGCCAGGGCCAGGCATATTGTAAGAACTTGAGAGACCTTGTCTGCTAATACTTTGCCTAATTATACCAAGGCTTCTGGGAATAACACCTAGTAGACAACAACTTATTAGAGTTGCTTTGTCCTTTTAAAACAAATTCATTTGGAAATTCAAAAGGTTCAGCTTTTAGGGACTGGTTATATGATCATTCATGTTTCAGAATTAATATATTTGTTTAGCTCTTCTGAGGATTTGCCCATTGTTTTTGGTGGACAGGTAGAAGGAACTATTTAGGAAATCAATTATCAAAGAGGTGGGGGCCATGTGGCATACAGAAGATTCACTCACTGGTTGTCTTTCTTAGTGGTGGCCCAAGTCCTTCTGATCAAGAGATGGGGTAGCTAGGTGGTGCAGTGCGTGGAGTATTGGGCCTGGAGTGAGAAAGATCTAAGCTCAAATCCAGGCTCGTATATTTACTAGCTGTGTGACCTTGGGCAAGTCACTTAACCTCTATTTACCTCAGTTCCTCATCTGTAAAATATGATCACCCTGGAAAAGCAAACAGCAAACCACTTTAGTATCTTTGCCAAGAAAACCCCACGGACAAGGCCACTGGTGGTGTGTCCCTTGCCTCTGATGTAAAAATGAGTACCAAGATGACAAAGAAGATTAGTCAACATCCTGAGAGGTAAAAATTTATTGATTTATATCATATATCAGCATGTTATGATATGGTCACACCTGGTCATACAGCTGACTTTATCTTATAGCCAAAAGAGGGTTTTTTTCCTTTTAAAAATACATTTTTTTTTCAGCAGGAACAAACATTTTAAAAATAAACATTCATACCTAGGCGGGAATTAAAAACAATGGCTTTTTTTCCCCCCCCAAACTCATGAGGAACAGGGCTGGTCAGCAACAGATCTCTTCGTGCTTTAGCATTTGCTTTCAGGCTCCTTCCCCCCAATTGTCCTCCATCTTTCACAGAAACGTCTACATAAGACAAAAATCCCATCCCTCCCCAAAATAATGGCCCAAATCCTGACCCAAAAGAAGAGGTAGACTGAACTGAACATTATACTCATTGGGTAGATTGTGCAACGTGCTCCAGTCCACTTGTTTTCAATGGGCTCAGACTTAGAGACTACAGTCTATGACAACAAATCTGATAGATACATTAAGCGTTCAAACCTATTTGAGATACACATTTATGTGTTTACTTGGCTTTGATGAAATAACTTGAAAGTAGATGAGTAAATTGAGAAAAGCAGTGGCCAATAAAGCTCTTCAGGAATAGTTCTGAGTTTCATTTTTCTAAATCATAAGATGGTGGAAGACCATCTTTGCATTAGTGTTCTCACCTTTTAAAGCTCCTGCCTAGAAAGAGGAATTTTTGTGATGAGAATTCATTTTTCTGAGAGCTCTGAATGGAGCAAATGTGAGAAATATAAGACACTACCAAGAGTTAAAGAGGCTAAACACAAAAACAAAAATGGGCTTTTCAAACCAAGGATATTTTGCCATCTGATCTAATTCAGTGTGCCTGGGGCAATCAATTTACACCTTTCCCTCATGAACTTTCCTCAAAATACCAATGTAAAAAGGACCCCCCCCCCAAAAAACCCAAAACAAAACCCATAACACCAAAACACTCCATTCAACTAAGAAAAATTAGAAGCACTTTATCTTGAAAATCAACTTTATTTTCTTGCACAGTTAAAAAAAAATAGAGCCAGTTATTAGTTTCTGTTGAGAAAAGGTTTTGTTTTTTTTTTGTTTTATGGTTTGGCTTTTTTTTGGGGGGGGGTATTAACACCAAATTTCTGAAAAGATGATTTGGATACTAAAATCATTTAAAATGCATTAATAAAACAGATCCACATGTGACCAGCCCTTTACAAAATTAGTCACAATAGCCTTTACATTCATTCTTATCATACAGAACAACATGCAAATAACACAGCAAGGAAAAGGGAAAGGTCAAACAGACTAAAGTAAACAATATGGCATTAGGAAAACTAAAATCCATTTTATAAAATAAACACAGTTTTGTAATAACAACCTTAAAAGAAATGTGTTTTAATATAACAGTGGTTCAACGTATAACTGTTTCATTTCCCAATTATAAAACAGAAGTTACTGTCAAATGCATACACTCCTTAACATGTAAAGAATTTATGCATCACAGTTATGTGTTCAACAGTTTTACACAATAAAAATAAAGTCATTCAAAATATATGTATGCATACTTTGCAACTAGAATACAAGTTTATTTTGCTCTTTAAACTGTTTTAAAAAAATACTAAATGTAAAAATCCACAAATACGTAATTTTGCAAAAAAAGAAAAAAAAAAAAAAAGAAAAATCCATATCGTATCTTTCATATGGCTCCAGTCACCTTCCCCCAAAAGTCTAGCACCTTCAATTTATTCCCAGGGCCTGGCTCCTAATTGCTGAGGATTGGTGCAAAATGGTTGAAGTAAAGCACCAACCAAGGACTGCTCCAAAGAACCCCCAGGCTTCTTTGTGATTCAGGTATTCCCGACTTAGGTGATTTTGGTCCCAAGCACATTCTGCTTTACTCACATATAAAGTGAATTAATGTACCTGTGGGCCAAGCTCAGCATTTGACTTTTCTTTTCTTTTTAACAGAGGTAAGGTTTACAGCACTGCATGGCAAGAAAACAGATCATTTTTACTTTTTGCTCTATGTGAACCAGAGCTGAATACTACCATCATGGTAAAGTATATTTCATTTTCATTTAAGAAAAAGAGAAAAAAAAAGAAAATAATTAAATTTTCCTATTTAGCAGTGCAAATAATTTTTTTCTTAAATATCAACACAAATCCAACTCCTACTTGTCATGATTGAAGATTATTTATTATGACCAAGTTTAAATATTACAGAAGTGTTCAATGAAGTGATTGTCAAAAAAGAAAATTACTAAGACAAATCCACACAGGGGAGAATGAACATTCATAAAACAAATTCCAAAGGCATTAACAATAGAATGGTGTACCGAAGAAGTTTACATTTGGTGATTTAAAGTTTCAATTTAATAAAACAGTTTGAGAACAGTTTTAATACAGCCAACTCTTGATTATTCAGAAACTGATCATTCAGTCTGTGGATTATTCAAGCTTGTTGTGTCTCCTCTTATGGATGCCTTTCACTCATTTCACTGCTCAATAGCACATTCACAAATATCTTACCAGGCAGGTTACAAATCAAACCAATCAATTTCATACTTGGTAGCATTTCTGTTCAAAGGTTTGAGTAGAGAGGAGATTGAAGCTAATAGATACATTAGATTTTTGAATTATCTGTGAATTTCAATTATCCACATAAAGCCAGGTAATAAACAAGGTTTGGCTGTAATGAAAAAACTACCCAATCATAAAGACTTGAACATACAAGCTACCTTTAAAAAAAGACCTATTGTCTAGAAACTCATAACTAAATGTAGTAGATAACCTGTTTCCCCTTTAAACCTTCAATTTACCCCCCAGCCTCCACTGGATAATGGGTTTCTCCACAGCAATGTACCTAAAACACCAAACAACTGATTCTAAAAGTTACAATCAGCTGGTGTATTTAGATCACTTTTGTAGTCACTGAAACCAAGTTACTGGTCCTACCAATAGAAAGCAACACTCAGGGCTGTTGGGTTTCTAGAAGTACACACTGATCTCTGCTGAGGCAATCTAGGTAGACCAACTGAACTGCAGAGGAGGTGAGGCTCTACAGGCCAACTTAACTGGGTGAGCTACAAACAACTTAAGCTAGCACAATAACTATTCCCTATAAGCTTTATAATGCTTTCTCTCCATAAAATGTGAGTCCTTTGAATTTCCTTCCCCTTCACACAAAAACTACATGGCAAACTGGAAGGTTTTATTCGGAGTTTGGTTTTTTTTTTCTTTAAACAACAGAAAACACCCTGATTACCACATAGGAAGGAACACTGATTCTCCTTTCACACTCTTTAGTGCAGGTAGGAGAATGCCACTCACTGAGAAGGAAACTACAATCAGTGCTCTAAAACAAACATGTTTTACAAACAAAAGAGAGAGATATGCTTTAAGACAGGGTCAACTGTATACCCGTCTATACACTGCCCATACCCACCACATAAGTAACTGGCACACCTGTTTGTCCTGTTTGACCCACTCCTACGGAAAAGTATTATATTCCGGGATGGAGCTTCTTTGATGTGTGCAATCATTTAAAGAGTGTAACTGTCCCTTTATAGAAAACCTTTCCTTTTTCAACTGAACATCAAAGGATTTTTAAAAAAATAGTCATATCTACATTTCTCTGGAGAGGAAAACCAACAGAATAACCACAATACAGACTTCTTTAGGAATGAGGGTCTACTTGGGATTACCTGTATATGAAAGGGGCATGAACAGAATCAGCTCTATACTCTTCTCACTAGGTTCCTCTCAGGTGAGCTGGGCTTTATGTGCACTGTCACCGTGTATGGGCACACTCAATAAAAAACTGGGTTTCAAAATCTCATCTTACAATGAACATTTCCCAAACTAAGTACATCAACATTTCTGCATTTTGCTAGTAGCAGTACTTCCAGTCAATGAGGTATTTCAGTTACTGCGTTATGTTCTTTGTTACATATGCACTGAGTTACCTTAAAGGATGAAGATATTGTGGACTTATATTTGGTGTTAATTAACCTTTCCCACAAAACTGAGGGGAAATTCACATCTTGCTATTTTTTTGGTTTATTTTAAATGGAAAATATTTAACTTTATTTTTATCTTATAGACTACTTATCAAAATTGGTATTTGTGTGATTAGAGGCAACAGGGGAGTCTATGTTGCCAATAGCACAGAGCACTACAGTTGACTTACTTGGATCTTAATAATTTTAGAATTCCAAACCACAAACACCCAGTAGCTCAACATCTGGCATTCAAACTATGTACCAATGTAGCTCTTTTGTAGAAAGAATTTGGTTCTATCATGAGGTAAATCACACAAACAGGATGACAAGAACTATATTTTCTAGCAATCAGTAAGAACCAGACTACTTTAAAAGCTTTTGCATCAGCTTGTCTCCTAGTTAACTTTCCTTCTCCTGAGACTAGCAACTACTTTTGATATGGTGACAACAGTGTTGTTTGTACAGATATCTAGAGGGCTATGTTTGTACCTTGTCACAGGAGACTGAATAACTTCCTATCATTTTAAGCCAGTGTCTGGCTCTAGCTATTATTAGTTTTCTAATCAACTAAATAGTCTATTTTCTTCCTAAACAGAACATGTAGTTGTTTGGCATTAACTTGTTTTAACCATCCCAAAATGTATTTAGTGTTAGCACATCAAAATGGAAAAAAAAAAAACAAACCCCAAAACAAAAGGCTTCTGAACTATGTAACTGTCATATCAGCAATAGTGTGGTACCCAAAGCATTACTGTGCTGAAGAGTATTAGCACTCAAGTAAACCTTCAGGGGCAGCAATGCCTCTCAAGAAACCCACTTATTATAAAAATTCAATCGATCTCAAGCTATAGACTTTTCCTTCACTGTATTTGCATCTTTTAAAAGTGCATTTTGCAAAAGATAATAATCCATGTAATATATTCTAAAGATGAAAAAAATCAAATGACAAGACATTTTTTCACTCCCTTGGAAACGGGAAAGTACTAACACATGTAAACATGATGGTGGATGATAAACTCAACAAACTAGAGACTGAGATAGCCAGAATCGATTTCTGTTGTTTAAGCACATCCTAGTACTATTATGCCTAATGAGCACTGGCTTTTTCCACAGAGAATATCTGACACTATATTTCACTTAGGTGTTTAGGAATGGTTTGTTTTTGTCTTAAAACAGAAACTGATGACCAAGAAACAGTTATGCAGGAGGCCCCAACTGCTCTCAGAAATGTTAGTGGCAACATAACCTCAATTGCTGGAAACAAGGGATCTCTAGAACACTGTGGTAGTACAGACTACTGGATAAGAGGAAAATCGAGCTTTCTAACCTTGAAGTAAGTTTCCAAGTATATTCAGTGGTGATATAATTTCTCTTAGTCTTCCAGGATAACGTTATGATCTCCTCTTCTCCCAGCATGTTTGTGTTACATGTTTGTGGTATAGTATACCTTTTAAAAACATGGAAAGTTCTTAAAATACATTAGCAGGTCATTACATTACTGATCCTCACTTTTAGTAAAGTTTTAAAATTTCCCCAAAGAGGGATAAAAATCAAGCTGGCCATCCAGTTTCCTTTACTTGCGTATATTCTCATTTGCACATGTAATATAATGCACATTTGCAAAAGCCTAAACTCTTATGATGTCCATAGGTCCCATTCAACTTCTAGAACAGGCAATGATAAAAATACTGTAAAACGTTGTACCACATATAGCCTGATAAAAATGCTAAGGACTGTATGAAAAATAGCCACATGTTGCTGAGGGTCATCTCCTTAGAAATGGCTTTCTTCTGGCCCATTAGAGGAGGAAAAGCTCCTAAAAGAATAAAGCAGAAAAATTAATCAATTTGCGTGGTGATAGGTTTCCTGGAATAAGTCAATGCCAAAAAAAAACAAACCCAAAACTAAGAATTTAATGAAAAAGTATCTTTTTTATTTTGAAGCTATCTTTAGTAATCAATCCCTCTATTTCCATAACATTTTACCTAATATTTTTGCCAATAAATAAAGGAATTATCTACCTTGTCTTTCAAAATAGAGCATTACTTTGTGGAAAATATTTTAATCACATAAAGGGAAGGAGGATCGGGTAAATAACGTATTTAAATTGTTTTCTGAAATAGAAAGTCACTACCACTTGAAAGTCATTATTTAATCATTTTTATTATATTCTTCAGCATTGTCAACATTATTTGATGTTTGTTATTATCTTTTGGGCAATGTGAACCACAGGAGTACCTGTTGATTGCAACAAATATATAGCTAACACCTTTAAGTTCCATAATCCATTACTCAAAAGAGGTTTCCAGGATTCCAGTACTATACAGGAGACAGAAAGAGAGACCTTTTTTAGCTTCTCATTTCCATAAGTCATCATGGTTCACCCATCTGTCTCTGGTGTCTATCTTCCATTAGATTAAGCCCAAGGAATGGCAGGTCCAAAAATGATTTTCAGAAATGGCAGCCACACTGCTTGGGACAGGTACCAAAAACAGACTTCTGGGTTGTTCAAAAGGATACTAGACAGGCAATATTTTTATCTCAGTGCAATAATGCAGATTTTTTGTGTGGCACAGTATGTAAAATGTTGGACTTGGAGTCAAGAGCCCTGCATCCTAACTCAGACATATTACTAGTTGTGTGACCCTGGACAAGTCACTTAACTTGAAACAGCCTCAATTTCCTCATCTATAAAAATGGGGACAATAATTGCACCTACCTTATAAGGTTGTCATGAGGATCAAATGAGAGAACACGTGTAAAGTGTTTTGCAAAACCTAAAGCTAGTTATTATTTTGTCCAAAAAAAAAATTCCCCTTTTCAGTTTAATTAACTAACTTCTATTGTATACCTATCAGAAGAAAAGCACCACAAAGTAATTTCATTCTCTCCCCACCAACACACATACATACACACATATTTATCTATGTATATATAAAATGCATATATGTATGTATATTTACACACACATAAAATATAAAAACATTATATATGCACGCATATACACACATTAAAACAAAGCAGACTCATGGTAACAATAAAATGCCCCTGTTTACTTATTATTAGTACATAGTGACTACAACTTTTAATTTTTCTTCTGGATTTGGTCCTTCAATGACAGTTGAAATATTTAAGTACTTGAGAACATATTTTAGCTTTGGTTCCCCAGTGGTTCAGGCAATAATGGAATGTTCATGCCAATGGAATATTCTGACTGGCTTATGAAGAATCCCCAGAAGAGGCTAGTCATACAAATGGGAAATAGCAGATAGAATATGTAGTTCACAATTTACCATATCTTAGAGTTTTAGTGGAAGTTCATCAAAAACATGGTCTAAGTGCCAATTTAACAATATGAAGAAAGCATTCTAGCTTTTCTCCCCCATTGTGTGTTTAGCAATTGAGCTAAAAATCTCAGTTCTTATAGTAAGTTCAGGATTTTAAAAAAATTTATGATTTCATCTGTCCTTTAACATGAGGGAAATATGACCCATATGACAAATGTCATGGAGTTCGTTATCACTCTTTCTGATTTCTGCGGTTAAGTTGAAAATATGTAAAACCGTCTGTTCACATGAAGTATGATATTCTTAAACCCAACCCCCACCCCCAAATAATGACAAAGTGTCTAAAAGCTAACCTAAGAATATAAAAATACAATATAGAAACAATGCAAAATTTTTAAAATTTTGGCTTATGGTCCACATTTAACCTGGAAATATATTCCCTGTCACCTCCCAAAACCTGCTCTGCTTCATGATTTTCCTATTTCTATTAGTCACTCAAGATCAAACCTTCAATGCCACTTTTGACTGCCCTTTCCCTTAGACCTCTGATCCTAGATTTCTGTGATCTCTTAGTTCTGCTTCTTATTTTCCATTTGTATTATAAACACTCAAGTTCAGATCCTTGTTACCTTCTCACATGGACTGTTGAAATCTTCTTTTAACTAGTTTTCTAACCTTCAATCTATCCTATTTGTCCCTCGGCAAGTTACACTTTTAAATGGGCAGTTCTGAAGATGGTTCCATGACTCATTTAATGCTGTCCACCACTCTCCCCTGAATGCCTTCCAAATAAAGTCTAAACTCACTAGAAGGCATCTTATGTCATCTGCAATGAGGCACTTCTCATCTTATTTCCTTCGATATATTCTAGCTGATTGGACGAGTTGACCTTCTATGAAGGTCTCCCCACACCTCTCCACCTCTGGGTTTTGTTCTATGCTCTCACAAAATCTCATGATACCACTCCCTATCCCCAACCTAGGTCTCTACCTGTAGAAATTCAACTGTTCCTTTATGGGCCAGTTCTCCATGCCAGATTGCCTAGAGTTAACCACCAAAACAATTTCATTGTGAAAGTGGACAAACATAAAGAGCTTCCAGGAAGGAACTGGAAATTATACTGATACTAATAGACTTGTACTGAAGAAACTGGAGTATAAAATAAAATGAGGTACACAGGGCAGGGGGACACAGAAATTTCCCTATATAAGAGAATGAATTGGAACTATTTACATATAATTTCCTCTACAATTTAATAAGCTCAAAAATTTAGATGAAGTCAATAGAAACTTTGGTTTTAAGTACATAGGAATCTGATTAAGGTAACAACGTTTATGACACCAATCTTCACAGAATCAAATCGAGAGATGGAAGATTGAAGAGGTCATTTAGTTCAAGTCCCTTAGACTTCTCAAGGCAACCCACTGTACTTTTGAATAGCTATAATTGTTAGGAAGTTGTTCCTTTCTTCAAACCAGAATTTGCCTCTTTACAACTTCTACCAAATGCCTTCTAGAGTCAACAACCCTTTCTTGGGTTAAATACTCTGACAACTGATCCTTAGATGACTTTATCTTGAAACTCTTCATCATCCCTGTTGGTGGGCTCTGGGTTTTCTTTTCTATGGAGCATACCTTTTGGGAAAGTGTTGCTCAGAATTGAATACAATACTCAAAATATCATCTGATTAAGGCAGAATGAATGGATTATCACCTCCCTTGTTCTGGATACTATGCCTCTCTTCATGCAGTCTAAAATCCTATTAGTTTTTCTTTGTTATTGTATTACATTTCTGACTTGTATTGTGACTGCACAGCCCATGGAAAAAAATCAGATGAACAATTATCTACCTTGCCATGCTTCCTTGTGCTTGTGAAGCTGATTTTTTATTTTTTAACTCAGGTATGAGACCTCATATTTATTAATATCAAATTTATCTTTCTTTCTAAAGGGATTATAGATTTCATGCTGAAAAATGTCCATCATCTAGTTCAATTTGCTTATTTTTAAAGGTGAGGAAAACTGAGGCTCAGAGAAGATATATAACTAGTCCAAGGTCACAAAGGTAACATTTCACAATCTGGTTCTTTCCATTGTACATTTAAGAGATTTAACCAACCTTCAAACATGTCAAGATGTTTTTGGATTTTATCCAACATTTTAGCTACCCCTCATAGCTTTAGTTCATCTACAAATTTGATTAGCACAATCAAACACTAAACATCATTTAAGTCACTGATAAAACTGTTGAGACATCATTGGGTAGAGCACAGATCCTCAAGTACCATAGTCTAGAAAATTTCTCTGATTTTCTGGGTCTATCCTTTCTTCCAGTACTGGCTGTCTCTGTTATAGACACATACCCCTCCTTCCTGGCACTACCTCCTATGTAGCCTTACTAATTGGTAACTCCTTCTTGAAACATCAGAAGTATGAAATCACTAAAAAAAACCTTATGCCTCCTATAAAACTTCCATCCCATATCAGCATCCCAAAGCACCCCTGATAGAATGACAGTGGGAAGAGCTGTGAGATATAACTATGTACCAAGTTCTAGGGATAACTGCTTGCTAGATTTCCTCTGTCTGCCATGGCCTGAAGACCACTACATCAGCAGCTTTGTCCAGATCCCTGATTCTATCCCTTCCACTTCTGGAGGTGTCTGTCATTGCACAAGTTAGGGTTGAGATGCACTGGTTCTGGAGATTTCAGCGACTGCTCTAGTTTGGAGGTTGACTGGATTCTTTCTATGCTTCCATCTCTGAGTATCCCCAGTTAACCCACAAAGCCTTCCTGTAAATGTCACTAATAATATTCTACTACTCTGAACAAAGATTGGTTGGTCCAATTCTTCTGTGCAGCTCTTTTAAGTCCCCAAGAATCTGGGACACTGGAGGCATTCCCCTAGACATGACCTTCGTAGCTGACATTAAACCATTAATGACTACTTTTTGGGTCGAGTCATTCAACCAGTTAGAATTCACCTAACTATAACTCTTATGCAGTTCATATCCCCATCGTGTCTATAAGAATATAAGGAAAGACTGTCATATTCTATGCTGAAATCTAGGTAAGTTACATTTCTAGCATTCTCCTGATCTATTAGTCGAGTAAGGTCAAAAAAAGAAATAAGGTTAATCTGGCATGGTGGGTTCTTCATGCAATTGTACTGGTTCTATGTGATCACTGTTTGTTTTGTCTGTTGCTGTTGACACACTCAGCTGTGTCTAACTCTTTGCGACCCTATGTACCACGGCACACCAATACTGTCCATGGGGTTTTTTGGGCAAAATTACTGGAGTGATTTGCCATTTCTTCCTTCTCTGAATTAAGACAAACAGAGGTTAAGTGACTTGCCTTGGGTCACATAGCTAGTAAGTGGCTGAGGCTGGTCCTGAACTCAAGTCTTCCTGACTCCAGGCCTAGCACTCCATCCACTAAACCAGCTGCCACTGCTCCATCCACTAGTTGCCTCCTTTTTCTGTGTCTAGAAGATCACTAAGCATCCCTTTAATAATAAAATGTAGAATTTGGCTAGGAATTGAAGTGAAACATACTATCTATAATCTGTAGGCTCCATTTTTTTCCCCTTTTCTGAAAACCAGAACACTCGCCCTTCTGCAGTCCCACAGTGCTTCTTGTGTTTCTGATCATTCAAAGATCACTGACAATGGCTCATTGATTACATTTGCCAATTATTTCAGCACCCAAGGATAAAGTTGTTCGATATCTGGGGACTTAAAACTTATGAAGTGCACTTATGTGCTTTTTAAAAATCTTCTTTTTCTGGGTATTGGCTCCCTATTAAGCATTTTTGTTCTGTTCTTCAAATACTTTGATTGCATTTGTGTGGTTAAGCCACGAAGAAACTGAACTGTAGTGACTCCATTTCTACACAATTTGCTCTTTATTAGTCATGAATAATTCATTCCAATAGTGTACTCTGCAAACACTTCTGTATTTTACTTTATTAATAAGGAAGCTAAACTATTCTTGCTAAGAAATTAGGTTTCATTAATTTTATTGTACAGATTTATTGTCAGTTAACTATAGATGCTGTCATCATTTATAAAGATAAAAAAGTTTTATTCATTTGTCCATCTATTTAAAAGTCACTTTAATTCTAAGGTTTTAGGCAATTTCACAAAGACCTGTCATTTTAAATAGCATGTCTATAGTTTCTTTGATCTTAGATTTCTTTGTTAACTAGAACAAGTCTGTCATTTGTGCCTTAGATTTACAATGATCTTGGTAGAATGCCTTATGCTGGGGGAAAGGGGAGTGGGGCAAGAATGCTTTCAAACAATGAAGCAGAAACAGAAAAATAGACTTTTCCAAATAAAGAATAAATCAAGGCTATTTTGCCCCACTCCCTACCCCAGGTTTTCATGTTTATAATTTGCATAACTGCCCCCAGGTGAATGCGGTGCCCAGAATTATCCATTGTATAGTCATACAATGGATAATAGTCACTGACTACATTTTCCCTAGGGTGGATAATTGAAAAACTAGCATACAATTATGTTTTCCCATGAAAAATTAACTCAAATATTATAAGCAGTACATCTATTCAATTTAGAAAAAGATTAAAGAAATATAAACATTTAGATAAAATTAAAATCCCATCCCAACTAAACTTCAACTGTTCTCTATCACTGTTTTGTCTAGCTTTAGCTTTCTTACTCTGAATTAAGTAAAATCTTTTATCTATGTTTCAAGCATTAAAAAAATAATCTTTTACGCAGCTCACAAGTTACCTTTAAATTGGCCAACTTTGATTCTCCAGGGCCTCAGGGAAGCTTGACATAAAAAACTCTTAATAATTTGCCTCTAACTTTGCCTCATTTAGTACCCCCACCATATACTCAGTGCTACTATTTATCTAACCCTTCCATCCCTATTTGTGTTATAAATTTTTTTCTTTGCTTCTTCCAGAAGAGAGGAGACCATCAGTACCTATGATAACAAGTATATGGGAGAGGTGTATGACTTTCTGCATCAGTATACAAATCCTAATACAGTCTTTTTCCATTTAGGAAAAAATTTCCTTGGTAGAGATTTTTTACCAACTTACTCTCTCTAAGTAATCAAGCTGTTGAAACTCAACCACTTTATGCATTATTTTCCATAAAACTGGTTAAAATTAAACATAAAGTAGCTTCCAGCTCACTATCAATTTGTTTCTTCTCTGTTCCGATCATTTTAAAACACTTTTCAACAGGACAGCTTGTAAACAGAGGTGTACAATCATTCAAAGAGTAGTCACCTATAGGAATCAGTCTTTTGGCAAAACAGTGCTATTTATTATTTATCAAAGATCTAGCTGATAAAATGGAAAACAAATGTATTCAAGTATGTGATCAACACTAAGGTCGGCAGTAATGTTAATATTTTAGAAAAAAATAAACACAATTCTTGACACATATGGTCTATAAGTATTCAGAGCATTGTTACCTACCTAAAGACCATCTTTGAGCAAAATGGACATATATTCATGTATAAGTTTTCTGAGGAAAAGCTCACCTGTTTCATAAAAGTGTGACAAGAGGTCCTCCTTTTCAATGAACCGCTGATAGAGCCAATTAGCAAGGGCATCATTCTCCAAGGGTACATCTTTAATTGGAAAAATCCTAATCAGAACATAAAAAAAGGTTAAGCCATATCAATTCAAATGTCAAAATCATTTAAGTTTTCCCACAACACTTTGGATGCCTTTACAAACCAAAGACACCAAAACTACTTAGTCAGGGATATGTATGTTTTGCCCACGTCAAGTCAACGCAAGTGTCCTTAATATTTATTAAAGGTCTATATTTGGATAGAATCCAATTGCCTATTTGCAGACAGATATACCTATCTTCAAAAATTCAGGTTTTTACAAGGATATTTATGATTAAGATTAATAATACGAGCAATAATAAGAATAAACAGCTATACTGGAACTTGATGACTATCACAGATGGAACTGTTGCCCACAATTGTCACAACTGACATAACAATGATATATACAAAATTTAAGAATAATATTTTCAATATATGTTGCCAAACCAAATATCCATAGTCTCCTAAAGCTACATGGAATGAAAAACTCTCAAAATACAGAAATCTAGCAGAAATCAAAACAATTTCATTAACAGTATCCCTGTCATCTCATCTGCTCCTGGAATTGTCCCAAAGATGATGTCAGTGAGCCTACAGAAAACATTTAAATACTTTTTATTCAATTACATAAAGTAGTTGTCTTACCACCTATGCATACAATAGTCTATAGAACATTAAATATAAAAGGATAATAAAGCAGGATAGTGACTTGTTCCCAGGTTCACTTCTAACTGAATTCTATCAAATATAAGATGAAAATAAGAACAATGATATTAATAACTGACATTTGCATAACACTCTAATTTTCACAAAGTTGATATGCATTACATCATGTGAGCTTCAAGATAACCTTGTGAAGCAGGTACTACAAAGGCACTATTACTTCCACTTCACAGATAAGAAAATGGAGGCTCAGAAAAACTAAATGATTTGTCTGTGATCACATAATTAGAAAATGGTGGAATCAGGGCTTAAACCCAGGTCTTTCTGATTCCAATTCAGTAAGCAGTTAACAAACATTTGTTAAGTGCTTATGTGTTCCAGGCTTTATGTGCTCAGGGCTGGGAGACAGATACAAAAGAAGTAAAAAACACAGTCTTTGCCTTCAAAGAGCTCACTTTAATATATATATATATATATATATATATACACACACACATACGTATGTATGTATGGATATATATATATGTATGTGTATATGTGTGTATATATATATACACACACATAGATATATATATAGATAGATTTTTTTTTATTTTATTCTGAACTTAAGAAATAAAACAAGCAAGTCCGTAACAATGTGGGCTAGAAAAACCGGATTGCACCTGAATTTGCAGATCCATTATGTACAACATGCAATTCCTCTCAAAAATACAACAAATAACTCATTTAACTTTCTTCCCTGACACTCCCCTAACTTCAAGATGGCTACCATTAGATACAAATTTATATGTGTATCTATGTGTGTATATTCTCTCAATTTCTCTCTCTATGTATATAAAATACTCTCTCCATATATGTACATAGAGATCTCTCTCCATATATATATTCATATATATATGCTCTCTCCATAGAGGGAGGGAGGGGGGTGGAGGGGCAGGAAAGAAGAGAGGGAGAGGGAGAGGGAAGGGGAGAGAGAGGGGGGAAAGGAAG